ATACATTTAAAATACATATTTGAAAATGAGCAGCCTTGCCCGAAAAGATATATTGCTAAAAGACGTCTCATTCATATTTATAGATAAAAATATAATTTAATATATGTGCGATCAAGTTAATTTCAAATATAGTTGTATCGAAAACAATTATTATGTAAAATTGGGTTTTTTTGTTTTTTGTTTTTGTTTTTGTTTTTAATGAAATCTTCAATGACATTTTTGCAGTAAAAAAAACAAAAAGACTGGTCTGAATAAGTATAAAATTTCAATACACATTTCACATTTTAAAAGTTTTCAATAAACTGAACTCGTTGCACACAAATAAAATTACAAAAGTTTGAAATAAACTGAACTCGTTGCATACAAATCAAAATGCATTGAACACTTATGTACAAACTAACCAATAGAAAATTCCATAACTAAAACTTTACTTAAGTATCGGAAAGACTATTTTCGTAGTACCGTCTTTTGACTCCGGAGTATATAGTCTTTCGACAGGTTACCTATTCTGTTGTAGGACGGTCATTCTGGTACTTGTTCAAGAAAGAGCAACTACGAGAAGTAAAATCAAGCTTAATGTCGGTGCAATTTGGCGGAAAAAAAATAACTGTTTTATGCTATCAATACCACAAAATCATCAGAAAAAAGTAAAATAACAAAAATACCGTTCTCTAAGGAAAATTCAAAACGGAAAGTCCCTTATCAAATGGCAAAATCAAAAGCTCAAATACATCAAACGAATCGAAAACTAATGTCATGTTCCGGACTTGGTACATGCAGTTCCTTATATTAAACCTAGTTTTATAGCTTGCTAAACCTCTCACTTGTATGAGTTAATAGAGTTAATTGTTTCCCCAAATTGTGCCGATTTTAAGCTTAATTTTACTTCTATGAGTTGCTCTTACTTGACTGAACACCATAATGTCCTACATCAGAGTATATAACCTGTCAAAAAATTATATACCCCTAAGTCAAAAGTCGGTAGTATGAAAGTGGCTTTTCAAATAACCTTTGGTAAACGTTAGATAATCCATTATGAATCATTTTCTATCGCCACATACAAATGCAAATACGTCTGATACTAATGTTAAGTATAAAATATGTATACGATTTTCTGTAAAATATTAATACAAGCAAGCAAACAAATTGCAATAAGTATTTAAACGATACAACATTTAGACTAATCGGGTGGTAACTTTCCTTTCTATGTTAAACGTGACCAAATTTTAGCATGCAAAAATAACATTATGAACAATACCACCCTGCTCAGCTCGTTATTATATTGCATGTGATGGATGGCTTGGAGGCGTCAATATGCTTCATATGACGTCATACTTTGTGATACGATGTTGATAAGTGTGACGCGAAAGTTTATTTTCTTAGTTTGCTGATAAAACAAACAAAAGTAATGTTTTATAATGTAAAACACACAAATACAATCTGATAAATCAATTATTAGATTTTCAACATATTGATGTAACTGACTCTTTCAAATATCATTATGCAAAACACAAATGATATATATTGTTTATTTTTGACGACCATAGGTACATCTCTTTATGTGCTAAGATTGTGTGTGTAGATGGGTTGTTGTGCGTATATCCAAAATATCTTGTGTTTCTTTTACCCCATTGTAGAAATTTCCTACCGAAATATACACTACCCAATTACAATAAAGGTTTGTCAGAACATGTTAAGTACTATTTTATTTCAGCCAAAGTTTAAAACATTGCAAGTAAAGCAAATATTTATGTACAAGCACACAGATGACTGTTTGTGATAGCAACAACATCAATTAACATGTGCACTTAACTTATAAAAAATATTGAAGGGAGAATACAGAAAACCACATTGGCAACGTTGCCTCATTTTGGGATCTTCTATTTAATATCCAAAAATTAGGTCGCCTAATTCGAAAAGGTATTTTGTAACAAAATGTTCGATACAAATATGTTAAAAGTCAGTAAAATTTTTAAAAAATATTTTGGTTTTTAGTTGTTCTTTGTGTATAATTTTACAAAAAAAAGTATGTAAAGTGTCTCGTTTGAAAATTATGCAAATTATATCACATTTTTGCATTAGTTTTCAATTACAAGGGTTAAATGGTGGCTTGTATATACATTCTTCTTTATCTTGTTAACAAAGTGACTATAAACAATGGACGAGTCTTAAGTATAAAATTGGAGTAAAAATTATACAGTATAAAAGTTTGAATCATACAAAATATATATTGTACACAAATAATAACATCTACCAAAATTTAGACACTTTTGTACAAACTAAATGAAAGGCCATTCCGGATTTGCGATATAACGTATATAAAACTTTCAATGGCTGACGTATTTCAATTGCATATAAAATTAAAAACCAATTGTTCAGAGAACAATTGAAGGTCTTTCCAAATGCACATATTTTGTTATGAAGATATCAAATAGGGTTTAAAATGTCATTTCTGGTATCAGACGTTAGCTTACTGAAAGCTGATTCCAAAGATATATGGTTTCTATAAACGTTTGCTTAAAAAAGGTTGATAATTGCTACTTCCGGTTTGAAAAATGTCACTTCCGGTATTATACGATAGGTTACTTGACACTGATTCCAAAACTATATGGTTCCATATACTTTTACATTGAATTAATTAAAAAATACTACTTCCGGTTTACTTAAGGTCAATTCCGTTTGAAATTTTCAAGGTCATGTGTTATCCTACCAAATTCAAAAGTCCCTAAGGCTTTATCATGTATCAATATGAAGTTATAGCATAGGTCAAAATCTACAACGTAAAATTAACCTTTGACCTTGACCTAAATTTTGTGGTCGTATAGCAAGGACCTCAAATCAAAAGACCCTAATTCTTTACTATATATGGTTGATGAGTTATCTCACAATACAGCTTATTTCAAACATTACAGGGGACGAAACTTCAATTAAATGTCAAAGCAACCTTTAAACCAAAATATATATGTTACAACATGTCGCAACTGGCAGTTTAGTAAAAATATTATGTCGATATCGTATACGATTTGTGAGGGAAGCAATAATAAGCAAAAATCGAAATTTAGAACATCACCTTGACCTTTGACCCTGACCTTATTTTCTTTTTGCTGGATCAAGGAACTCAAATCAAACGACCCTAGGTCTCTATAACTTATGGTGTACCAGTTACAACTACATTTCACTTATTTCAAATAAAGAAGAGAAATAACTCTCATATGGAGTCTTCGGAAAGCTTTGGTCAAAATTAAAAGTACATTTGTAACTTTCTGAGGATATAACGAGCAATTTGGAAAAATTAAATTTGTCGGTTTCTTTTACGATTGCGAAGGAGTAGTCATAAGAAGAAAAACAGTGTTCGGGGAGATAACTCTTACAAAGAAAAGTGTTCGGTAAAGCGGTGTCAGTTTCAAAAGCGCATTAACTGTTCGATAACATATATCAAATATCTAAGCGACATAATTTGAAACACCAAAACAGCAAAAGAAAAAAATTAGGCGGAAGAAAAAAAAATAATCAATACAAAGGCAAAAGGTCTTTCCAAGAAAAGTGGAAAGACCTAATAATACATATGTGATGTAAAGTTATTTTTAAATTGAGATTTATTCCGGTAAAAGGGAGATAATCAAATTTGAATCATGTTTGTTCGCCTTTTACAAAAAAATGATACGTCCGATACTTTAAACGTTAAGTATCAGTTATGAATAATTTCATCGCAAGTCCGGAATTTCCGATTTTGTATTAGTTTAAGTGCCAGTCTTTATAAGAATCAGGCAATTTAGAAGAATTTTAAAACATTGCCGATAAAAAAACGCCGACCGTACAATCCTCTGTTGAAGTTACTCTCATCCTGGGTAAGAAATGGTAGGTCTTTTGTTTCTGCGTGTCTGGTAATTCGTGAAATCTCTAGATAACTTTTGGTTAGAATGATAGCAAATTACGGAGTAAGCTCCCTTAATTATAAATTTTCTTGTGCATTTCAACCGAATTATATCTTGAAATACCAGAACAGGAAAACGAATGTTATATTCGTGCACTATTATACATTTTGAACTTAAATTAATGTAAACTTTAGCGGGTTTTTGTTTGTCATGTGTTCACCAATGTCTGATTCTTAAGCAGATTGGCACTTAAGCTGCAAATATTTGTGCAATAATTGTTTGACAATGCAATATTCAGTTTGAATAAGTGGCAACTTAATCTTCCATGTAAAAAGAAACCAACATTTAGTATGCAATGTTCGCTGTAAACTACGCATGTCGCATGAAAATGGTGACGTTTATTTAGATCAACATGATATTCTTGTCATTTTATAAGTTCACAATCAACAGTTTATCATAAACTATCAATAAAAAGAAGTTGAGGACGATTGTTTTTAATGTACCTGAAACACAAAATCGGGGAAAAGTCACCATGTAGGCATTCCAGTAGAAGATTGTATTTAACTTTCTTTTTCATTAAGTAAAATATTTACAGTATAAATTTTTAATACGCCAAATTCACCTTTGTGATCAGATGAAATTACCTTAAAAACCAAAAAAAAAATTAATTCAAAAGTTGTAGAGCTTATATAACTGAAAAGGAACAAAAGGTATTAACAGATCTGGACATGAAATAACAGCTATGCGTGAGGGAGATACATTCCTTAATCAAAAATTATATATTAGAAGAGCAAATTTCAATAAAACAGTCTCCTTATTTCAAATGAGAATCGTGAATATTTTGTGCTCTCCAGTTTGTTTTGTTTTTTATTTTTATTTCAAGAAAGTTATCTCAAACTTTTAAATAGATCCATTAAAGACAAATCTATTTTAGACAGGTATTTAATTTTTTCTTCACATGTTTCTTTTTTTTAAATCCAATCTCAGATCCTTTGGTTTACTGTACCAATTACCTTTCTTTTATTTCTATCAAAATTTTCAACATTTATATAAAATAAAAATTGGTAAATAAATAAACAATATATGTACATTGTCGTAAAATATAAAATTTATTTGTATGAGCTTTAGAAACAGGATGAAAAACGAGGCTCGCCGAGCTTTTCTCCTGTTTCGTAGCGAGTACAAATAAATTTTATATTTTCCGAAAATGTACATATATTGTTTTTATCCTGAAATTTACACCCAACACTTGAAACTTTAATTGTTAAAATCTAAATCATTGTCTCTTATTTTTCAAAGTTTAAACGCGGACCGCGAAGAGGACCCCAAAATGAACTGGTACGCAAAAAGAAATATCCACATTACCGCTTGCTCAACATGGAAGCGGGGTAACAGGAGACTTTATTTGTACAAGTACAAATAAAGCAAAAATTTATTTGTGTACCTGTTATTTGTACAATAGTTAGCTGATTGCAGGATAAATATAAAAAAAACAATGACATCTTTATGAAAACGATTTTTTTTCAAATTTCATTTTTATAAATCATAAACATTCCATGCACAAAATGTTAAACAAAGATATGAAACATAATGGTTTAAAGTGTATTTAACAGTCTGCTAAGATAAAACCTACTGTTCACATTTTAAACTGACAATCTTATGTCTAGAGCTTGTCCGTCTCTACAGCAAGACGAACTTATGATTACATAACAGTCCTCATATAACAGGTGAAATATTTGGCATTAAATGCCTTTTCACGTGTCAATTTAAAAAGTTGTGCATTTCATTTTAAATGTTTAGAAGCTATAAAGAACTTACATGATAAAAGAGTTATTGTCAATTTCGTTTTTAAGTGCCAGTCTTTGTAAAATTGGGCAATTTTGAAAAAAAATCAAAACATGGCCGAAAAAACCCACCGACTTAACTATCCTATTTTGAAGTTACCATCATCTAGAATGAATTAGAAATGGTAGTGCTTTCATTTCTGCGTGTCTGGTAGTTCGAGAAATCTCTAGATAACTTTGGTTAGAATGATAGCAAACTACGGAGTTAGCTCCCCTTAATTGTTAATTGCTGTTAATAACCAAATTATATCTTGAATTACCAGAACAGGAAAAGGAAACGAATGTGATATTCGTGCACCGTTATACATTTTTAACATAAGTTAATGTCAACTTGAGTGGGTTTTTGTTTGTCATGTTTTTTCCACTGCCTGAATCTTATGCAGATTGGCACTTAATTGCTCTTTACACACAAAATGACAATGCTTCCATTGAAATCTGTTTTCTTTAAAAGCCGATTTGTCCACAAAAAAATACTGATAATAATAATTTCATTTTATCCGAATATGTGTGTCAGTATTGCTACAACTGCTAAAAGGAGCACAAATCGAACATTTGCTTTTTTTTGAAAATATCAAAGTATTATAAGATATATTTGTGTTTATAACAAAATAACAGGACAACTTATAACGAAACTGCTAGAAATCCCTTACATGTATATCGTAGAATAGATGATAATTTGTGCTGGTTTCGATTAATAACATATTGCTATCCTTGATACCAGTTTTTGACCTGCCTATTAACAATATTGTAGCAAAACAAAAATAAGACGTATAAATTTGAAATTACCCTATTATAATTGAATCATGTATACGGAACATGTTTGTAATAATCATTAAACAACGGGTTATCGTGGGAGCATGTTGGTTCACAGAATTTACTTCCTTTGAATCATCATGTCTGATATCGATTTGATATTATATCCGGAATCCCATCGCACTATGGTGATGTTTTTGTTGTTCAAATCAGGATATCCATTACAATGCCCGATCCACCAAGCCCCGTAACCATAATCATTCATACAACTACCTTCATATGCGTCATTATCACTGTCATAGGTAGAAAAATATCGCCTATCGTTGTTAGCATGCATATAATATCCTGCAATTATTTTCAATATATCTATTAATAAATAAATTTGGCTTCTGGCATTTCAAAGGGTTTTTAACAATACATTTTTCTTCTACATATATGTTTCGTTCTTTTCGTAGATGGTCTTGTAATGCATATTATTTTACCTAGCAATCTAGTTTTACATTACTTTGTGTCGTTGGATTTCTGATGTGAATTGTTTCACATTTTTGCATGAAGGGTTTTGTAGCTTTTTATCGTGTTTTAATTTTTGCTCATTATTGAAGGCCGTACTGTGTCTGTATTTAGCTACATCTATATTCGTTGGTTTCTAGTGTATAGTTGTCTCATTGGTTATCATATCATATTTTCTTATTGCTATAACTTATATAAAACCAAAAACAAATGGTAAAGTTATGTATGGGTATCAAATGCCAGATTTAATCAATAACCAATTACATGTATATGTTACAGTAAATTTGTATAATTAGGGATTTTGTACAATAACTGGTAACTTTACTGATTATATATTATCACTAAAGTTTTCAGTAATCATGCATTATCACTAGGAAAAAATGCCAGTTATTATACATAATAACTGGAAAGAATAATTGATCCTATAAAATCAAATTTAACATCTTAAGAAACATGAATATTAAACTCTTAAGCATTATATACTAATACAAATCATTTATGTTTACAAACTGCATTCTAAATTTGGATGACATTTACTATTAAAAATTCGCTATGTTTTTCTTTTGTTTTAACAGCAACATCTACTTTAAAAAAAAAAACTTGTTCTTCACATGCATATTCAATCTGATTTTACCGCACATTGAAGAATAATAAAGTTTACATCTGAAAGTTCTAAAAAAAATGAATCAGGCACTTTCAATTAATTTCTTGTATAGGATCTGAGAATAATTTCATGTTTCGTATCCAGGCATTATTCTATTCAGTCCTTTCATGAACGATTGCCATAATATTTTTGGGGTCTTTCTTTCCGCGATCAACATGCTGAACGGTCTCAAAGCATAACAGCCAATGTTGGCCTCCTCCAAAACTGTGTTCAATTTGTCAAGCATGTGTTCTTTCTTTTTTCTGTACGTTCTGTTCCATTAGTTTGCTAAGTTTTAATTGCCTGTTCATTGGAACAAAGACAACATAAAAAAGATGTTCAATAACCTTTATGGCCATTTGCTTTACAGTAACTTGAACTGCGCATGTACAGTAAGAACATGAATGTGTATTTGACACCGTTTTCGCCGACAATACAATCCATGGCATACAAATACAATTATTACTATCATTGAGAATATTGGTATTATTAATTTCAATTTTAAATACTTTTTGTTAATGAGTTAATGTGGTTCAACAAAGTTCAATATCTTATCACTGGAAAAACTAGTCACTTTATATTTGATAATGGACAGGGAATGAAAACTGTCCACTTAAACCTTAATGGGCTAAGAAATACAAATGATTTATTTGTCTTTATTTGATTTATGTTTATAAAATAACGGATCTTTGTATTATTGATAATTCCTGAAATCATATCAGGGAATTTGAAAAAAAACCCTTAAAACTTTCAATGATTATCTAAAGTCACTGGTCATTTTCAACATATTTCCTGATAGTAAAAATTCACTGTACCATATATTTATATATATGTATATATATATATACGTAAGAGTCAAATCTATGTCCAGCCTAAAATATGTGTCCTTTCCTCAGATATCTGTCCCGTGACGTCATAACAGTTTTTGTTTTTCAAATCTGTGCCCTTTTTATTAAGTAGACTTTCAATTTTGTGGCGTAAATTGGAACAGGCACATATAGAATGCGACGGGGCCAAAATGTTCAACCCTACCCTAATTTCGGACCGTTGTGTAACATCACAACATAATAACAAACTGTAAAATTCAATTGAAAGGGTTTGTGTGGCTCATCAGATCCGCACAAAGCTCACAATTCAACAATCAAAAACTGAAAAAAAGACAAAAAGCACAAATAAATTTTTACCGTTTAATTGGCCTTCAAGACTTCTCTTCTTATTTGATAACCGAAAGATAAAAGTGTACGTTATTTAGCACTTTGTTAATATGCAAGAAACTGTAAGCTCCTCTACTCCCCGTTTTCATCCCCTCTTCCAATGATTATCGACTCCTGACTACTGCTCCCCGCCCCTTATTCCCTGGTTCCCTTATCCCTTTTAAACCCCTTTATGTGCATAGTTCAACACGCATTTACTTTTCAATGGCTGGTCTTAACTGATGGTGATTTAATTCTAATATGAAAGTCGTGTTGATGTCTTTGATAACAAAAATATTAACTCGAAGACGTTTTGATAATTATGACGTCAACACATAGGACAGTGCATACCTTGATGAAAAGGACACAAATTTGAGAGAAAAAAAAAACACAGATTTGTGAAGTTTATGACGTTATATAGAATCGGACACCGATCTGAGGAAAGGACACAGATTTGACGCTGGACATAGATTTTAGGCTAACATATAGATTAAGTTTTAGTATTTACTTATTATAGTTGCAATAAAGATAGTTTAAAACAAGCCATATGATACTTTGCCGATTTTCAATTAATTCTCGTAAGTCAAGAATCGGTTTCTTGAAATGCGTGTAAATTTTAAGTCTAACCGGAGCTAACTAGACCGGAAAAGCATTATATGAATAACCCGTCATCAGTCCACAGTTTTGTCAAGTAATAAATTTTCAAGCCACTTTTGACTGACTTTTTATTCCTGAGGCTATCATCCGCACTATATATCATTCTTTGGTATGACATGATGTTCATTTACAATATTTTATGGTTATTTTTCAGTGCAAGATGAGAATCATTCAAGAAACGGATGTCAGGAGCCGATATCAAGTTTATACTTTTTATAGATTATTTAATGCATTCAGCTTGGTATGTTTCTTACAAATGTTATCTGATACCAACTGCATTCTAGAAAAAAACGTCGTAGCAGAAAGAAAAAACAAATATCCACAAAGTATACTGCAAATAACTATTATAATAATAAACTCAAGCCTTTGTTAAACAAGGGATAACTTTAGGTATTTAGTAAGAGTAAGCCATTACTATAGTTTATTCTTCATAATGGAATGTGTAGTTTATACAATAGTTCAATCCTCAACATTCATAAAAAAAATGTCATTATCATTTAAATTATATTTAGAATAAAAGAGAGACGAAATATATCAAAGGGATATTCAAACTCATAAGTCAAAAATAAACTGACAACGCCATAACTTAAAACGAAAAAGACAACAATCAACAGTTCACAACACACAACATAGAAAACTTAAGACTAAGCAACACGAACCCCACTGAAAACTAGGGGTGATCTCAGGTGCTCTTGAAGGGTCAGCAGATTCTAATCCATATGTGGCACTTGTCGTGTTGATTATGTTAGTATAAACCCGATAATAAGTTTAATTCTGTAGGTCACATTCAGAGAAAAGGGGACGGGATTGAAGTTAAGACAATTGGAACATATCCGCTATCATCTGTGAAACGGATATTCCATAACGGTCAAACAACTCGTGATGGCGTCCGTAAACTTTACGAAAGGACGATTGCAACTTCACCACTTGGAACTCTTGGTTTAATAGCTTCCTTGTGAGCAGTAACCCTCTATCAAGGAAAACATGATAGGAAATACAAGCCCTGAAATATTGTATCAACTGGGAAATATATACTCCGTATACAGGCGCTGCTGGAATATAACTTTCACAGTTTTAAAATAAGTACTTGCTGCAAAAAATCCCCACCTACAGATCGAACATCATAACCTCTTTCTTTTAATCACTACTTAATTAAATGAAATAGGAGATATTTTAATATAAGAACTAGCCACTAAAGACAATTAAACAGGAGAGCGAATAACTGCAGATCATCGTACGACCTTCAACAGTGAGTAAAACCCCATTCCGTTTAGTAAGCTTCAAAAAGCTCGGGGAGGACAAGCAGTGAAACAATTCGAAAGAGATTACTGATGGCCTGATTTGAACTACAACAAAAAACCGAAAAACAATTATTGCAGAAAGTAACAAACAACTACCATATGACTACAGGCTTCCGGTTTCAGATAGGCACATAAAGATAAAGGCAACAGTAGTATACCGCTGTTCAAAAGCCATAAATCGATTAAGAGAAAACAAATCCGGGTTACATACTAAACCGAGGGAAACACACCAACTATAAGAGGAAAACAACGATACAATAGAAACACTAAACTGTAACAAAAACAAACGCCAACATACATAGAAACGGACTATTAAATAACAATTGCCATATTCCTGACTTGGTACAGGACATTTTAAGAAAAAATGGCGGATTGAACCTGGTTTTATGGCTAGGTAAACCTCCCGCTTATATGGCAATGTTAAAAAATATCGCTAAAATGATAATGAGGCGAAGTTAAACATATTTGTGAGCGCTCAACTTTCATCCTTAATCTGAGACAGTTGTATAAACGCATATTATATGAAGAAATTGTAAAAAGTTGTTGGAAAAGTCTTGACTTCTTATGTCGTTGTCAAACACTATAGGAAAACTACTAACAAAAAGACAAATGACATAAAGTACCGGTCTACGAGAACTAGCAGTTACTGAAAGCTAGGTCAAAGCGCAGTTGCAACAAATGAATTTACCATGCTTCCCAAGGACACCAATGGAAGTGATAGAAAAGTATATTCGATGTTTAAGTTTAAGATATTAAAGCATGTTTAGTAATTTAATAAGGCTGCTGAATAATATCATTCATATGAAAATAAAGATATGTGATTTGATTGCCAATGATACAATAATCCAACAGATACCAAAATGAAGAGAAATAAGCAACTATAGGTCACCGTCCGACTTCCTGCAATGATAAAAACTAATACAGTGTAGTCGGTTATAAAAGACAACGACATGATAAAATGTAAAACAATTCAAACGAGAAAACCTACGGCCTGATTTATGAGAACAAATATGACTCACAGCAACAAATAACTAAAGATCATTTAAATTGGGTCTTCTGAAGAAAATTTAGCGTATACAATTTTGTATCTTATTATCGATGTTTACAAGGGAATCATATGACCGACCTGCATATCCACTGTATCCATTTACTACAATTCGATACTTTGATGCTGCATCTTCTACTAGAAAGTTCTGGTACTCAGCAAAAACGTTTGTGCCGTTGTTGTGAACTAGTTCCACCCGTAGTTTATATTTTCCACTGGTGGTTAGAAGATGTAGGTATTTGTTACCTTGATTAAGAATGTAAACATATATAGGTGGCAAAGATATTTAGTATCATCTTGAGAGTTAGTCATTATGTAATAGGACTAGATAAAATTGCATTTAACTAGATTGCTGTTAGTAAAACATATGACATAAATCATGGAATTTGTGTGAATATATCCCCGTCTTTAGTGATCTGTTCACTTATGGACGAAATATTGTAAACGATTTATTTAAATCAAAAATCAAATATTATTTATCGGGTTTTTTTTTTTGGTTTTTTTTTTTTTGGCAAAATAGTCGCTTGTTCACTCGGTTTTATTTTCGCTTTTCGGGAAATACACTCGAAAAATCACTGTAGTGTACTTAGATGTACGCAAAATAAGCTTGAATAATAGAGAGAATCGATGACAAATAAATACGAGTATCAGAAATTAGAACACACATAATTCGGACAATATTCAAGGAAAGTAAATCATGCACAATGCGGCATACTAAAATTGAATGTTATGATCTTTTTTGTAATGGTATGAAAGAGTATTTCTAATGCATATTTATGCAAATATCTGTGTAACTGTGATTTAACGTCACTGTTTTTTTGTTTTTACATTGTTCGAAAATGTTGGGTTTGGACAACAATCAATTGAAAGTCTTTAACTAACAAATATGAACAGTCCCTGATTTATGTGTTATTAAAAGGTATGACATGTTTGATTAACCAATTTAATTATTATGAACATAGATATCTTAGTATATGTAAGAGAATGATATTCCCTTTTTATATGATTCAGTACAAGCGTTTGCGAGTACTTATCATGAAGAAAGGGATTATTATTCTCTTACAAACGTAAAAATATTTTAAATTGCTAACGGCTCAAATGACCTCTTAATAAATTTGAATCAAGAATTAAATTCATGGTCAGGTCAGCTCATATATGCATTTCATATTATTAACTAGTCTGGGTGATGCACGGAATGTACCATTTTGGGAAAATATAATAAGTTATGTTTTAGACACTTGATGATTTAACAGTACAGATGAGTAGAGAGTGTATATGTTTCCTAATAGTGAGTATGAATGTTAATCGTCTATTCCTTTAACAAAGACTTAACTTTTGTGTATTCATAGTTCAAATCAATAAATTCAAATTTGAGCTGCAGCTATATTTTATTCCACATCCAATGTCCCTCTGTACATCAAATACTTTTCCGTTTTGTGAGGTTGTCTGAGGTAAGTGACTGTTGTTGAAACATTCAATTTTAAATGAAAATCAAAGAAATAATCTATATCTCGGGAAATTTTTACTTTCAGCTATCAATGTATTGGAAAATTTGAAACAGGTATTCTTACCAAGTGCGGATTTAGTAAGTTTAGTTTTGGTAACTTATTATCTAGATGTTTAGGTTTTATGAGATTTATTTCTGTTTTTGAATTTTGAGTCAGAGTGTTGCAGTTTCTTTATTTTCACTTAAACCTCAATCTATTTTTTTTAGTTTCAAAAATCTTTTAATAGATTTCAATCAGAATTCCTGTCACTCTAATAAATTTGCTTCTGCAATTTTTTTTATTTTGTTGTTTTATAATTCAACTTTTTGTCAGTTTCAATCACTAATACTTCCAAGCTGATAAATGTGCTTCGGGGCATTTGTAACTCATTTATATAAAATCTTTGCCAGTAAATAGGCCTAAACAGTAGGATAAATCCTTACTAAAAACATAATTTACATTCATTTTTCACAATTAAGAAACACCAAATCCTACAATTTGATTGGTCGAGAACACTTTGCTATATTCTGAATTAATATGCACATTCTTGTGAATTGTCGATCAACATAGAAGTCTTTTTTTTTTAATAGTATGTTAAACCACCTTTAAAATGAAAAGAGTTTAAATATTAATGTTGTGAAAACTCGATAATTAATTGTATATATAATGTATGAAACTTTGAAACAACGATGAATCTTGGATTATGCAGATCAATTTACTCTGCGTCAAATTTTCGCGGGTTTTTATCTGCCGCAAACATAGCGAACAAAAAACGTTGTACGGTATATTTACACTTTGACGTAATACGCAACTATTTTAATTTTATTCTATGACTCCAGGGACTTAGGTATATGACAGGAGGGCTGAAATCCATGACTTAACAGTAGTAACTATGACATTGACGATACGACGGATACAGCAAGTAATGACTTTATTTATTGTTAAGTCTGTATTCTATTTTCTGTGGTTTATCGATAACGATTCATGTACCTTGTTTAGTTAGTTGATTCTTGTTTAGGTGTTCCTTATGATTAAGTAAACTGTGACTTTGTTAGAACTCCTCTTTTTGAAAGGTGTTCTTGGTGATTCTTTTATACCCTGTATTTGTAGCTCTCTTGTTTAGATGTTCTCTGGTATTCTTTTATACCCTGTATTTGTAGCTCTCTTGTTTAGGTGTTCTCTGGTATTCTTTTATACCCTGTATTTGTAACTTATTTCTTAACATACTCCTGCAGTGTTGACAACCTTGACAATAAACATGACCTTCAGACTTGGACATTCCTATAAGATTGAAATAGACAATCCAGTATAACCAAATAGTATATCAATGAGTTTGCTGCTGACAACAAGATTATTTAATTTCTATTTTTTATTAATAAAATATATAAATAATTTGGCCCTTGGGAGTCAAGTACTCAACAAAGGGAAATTTAGCTCCAGGCCCTGTCGACGACACTTGGTATAGATGGACCAAGCTCCATGGACATGGACACTCCGTCAACCAACCGGAACCAGATGAGTTCCTATAAGGGGATGAAGCGTTGCTCCATCTCATAGCAGGTGGCTACGATAAAAGGGGGTTAGATTGACGGTGGAGAGAGAAATAAATGTAGATGTATTACATTTAATGACTTGGGGGAAATGAGAAATTAGACCAGTGGTCAATTTCGAAAGGGTCCAAAAAGTCAGGTGTGAAACAGCTGAGTGACCCCCAAGGTAATAAATGGGAAAATTGGGTTTTAAGGAATGAAACCTTCAACTACACACTGTGGAATTCTATTAAACACAATTTAAGCTGTACATATTTTAATGAAACACACAACTGACTAATTCATGAAAATAAAATGTGTAAGAGTTAACATGTAATCTTAGTGCTACATAGATTTATATATATATATATACATACATAATATACATATAACTGTAAAAAAAAAATGTAACTGTTACAAATTTGTTGCTGTGCGTTCTTAATAGAAGATTTATTTGTTCTAACATAACGACAATAACTATCAGATCTCCATCTACCCATTTTTTTAATTAAGTGATCTTCAATATAAGCTTTACCAGCACTGGTTGCTGCACCTATACGAAAAGAATGTCCATTATATAGGGCGGCTTGGTATCCACAGGCTTCTAATAAAATTTTTAAATTTGTAATAAAATATTTTCTTTCTAAAGCTGAAAAATTTTCATCAATGAACAATGGATCTGAAAGTGCACATTTTCCTTTAACTGATCTTAATTGTAAGTAGTTCTTTAAAGTTGTATAAGGGCATAGGATATTATTTAGCCTATGCAATTGTATGTCAATGCCTTTCCTAAAAGGGTCTGTTTTTGACTGCTTTAGGTGAAGAATTACAAAATCTTCATAAAATGTAACATCAGAAACACATAAATTAGATTCTGAATCAAAGTTAGATGCATTATCTACAGTAAATTCACCACAACGTAAAAAACCATGAAATGCTACAATACAAACAGTTTCAAACATTAAGTCTATAAATTCTGAAAAAAAACTCTCTTCAGTTTAACACACATTTGCTTTAGTATGTCAGAAGTAATTGGATTTCTTGGCCTGACTGACTGTTTTTGTGAACGTTTAACCGACTTTAGAAATAAAGAGAGTCAAACCATTGATTTGTGGTCTCTGTTTGATGATTGAAAGGGTGAGGGAATATCGTCCTTGAGGCACATGTATCTAATACCACAAATATACAGCTTAATAGTAGAATATTGTAATTTCAGAATTTGAAAACAATGACCAACGAAATAAAATAAAATTTCTTCAGATATGGGAGGTAATTTGTTCCCATTCAGGTTGACCCCATTTAAAAGTAAAAATGTTTTGAAATGGTTATATCCTGTCTCATAAACAGCTCTTATCCTCATAGCTACTGCATTATACCATAGTTTTTTTTACTGTGTTTGTTAAGACCACATTACTTCTGACACACTTGGGCATATATGAGAGTGCTGCTTTGCCTGTGGAGCCAGTTTTCGGAAGCGAGTCATCTGAAAACGAGACAAAGCATCAGAAATTTGGTTTATATGACCAGGTACATGTTTAGCACTAAAATGAAAATTAAACTTAGCTGCACACCATGTTAGTTGACGCATAAGTTTTATGATTTCTAAACATTTAGAGCGTCCCTTTCTGACAATAGCAACAGTAGCTTCATTATCACACCAAAATAATATCTTTTTACAGGGCCAGAGGTGGCCCTATAACAATGCTGCTACTACAATAGGGTATAACTCAAGGAAAGCCATTGACAAATTTTCAGTTAAAGTAGGTAAATTAACTGGCCAATATGAAGAGAACCATTTGCCTTGAAAATATCCCCCAAAGCCTATTGTAGAAGCAGCATCTGTATATAATTCAAAGTCATAACTGGAAGAGAAATAACAATCATGAAACATAGTGATATCATTCCAGTTTGACAAAAATCTCAACCAAAATTCTAAATCTACCTTACATTCTTTAGTTAAATGTACAAATTCATTTAAATGTTTAACAGTAGTTGACAAATAAATTAGGTACGACAGAAATGATCTGCCAGGTAACATAACTCTTGTGGCAAAATTAAAATGTCCTAACAACTGTAATAACTGTCTCTTTGTACAAGATGATTATGACAACAATTTAGAAATAAACTCACATATTCTCTGTACTTTAATATTTGGAAGTATTGCTTCCATTTTGTTTGAATCTAAAATAATATCTAAATACTCTAGACAAGTAACTGGTCCTTCAGTCTTGTGTTTGGCTATTGGAATATTTAAATATTTAAAAATGGTCATCATTATAGCCATGCTTCTTTCACCATCTTCACTTGGGTGATCAATAGTAAGAAAATCATCAAGTAGATGTAAAATGTTCTTAATCTTATAATTTTTCTCTGTGATATGGCAAATTGCCTGTGACACTGTGTCAAAAGTTTTAGGACTAGACCGGCAGCCAAAAGATAATCTTACATAATAATAATAAAAAGACTGCCATTTGAAACAAAATAAAGGCCACTGGGATGGCAAGTAAGGACAAATTTTGAACGCGTCGGATATGTCATATTTACAAAGTGTACTGTTCCTTTCTAATTTTAGAATAATTCTTATAGCATCATCAATTTTAACATAAGACATGGAACACTCTTTTTTATCAATCATGTCATTAATACTTAGAAAACTGTCATTGTCATGTGTAGATGAAAGATCTTAATTCAAACGTTTCTTCCCATAGTATTTTCCTTTAGTAATTAACTCTGATACAACTAAAACCTGAGATCTTGCAGAAAAATCATTTTTACACTCTTTAGATTCTGAAATTTCCCCTTGAACTAAAAAATCAAAACCTTGTCTCAGACCATTACACAGATATAATGCAAAATTTTTTATCAGGATGTGATGATAACTCTTCCTCCAATTTATCAACATTTATTGGTGTTGAAGCTTCACAAAAGAAGTTTTCCTTGGATAGTCATCCTGAATTTGGTTTCTCCAATTTATTTCCCTTGGAGGACACTGAAGATGTTGAAGAATGAACAGGCACATTGCTATTCGATTTCCTACAGGTTGCGGCACCATGGCCTGTTGCACGACATTTTGTACACTGGTGGAGGAGATAACACACTTTCCTATAACAACCTTTAGGATTATTGAAATTATTGCACATTTCCCGACCTTCATGAAATACTCTTGAACGACCTTCCTTGTCTACGGATTGCAGGTTGCTAGCTAGATGAATATGATCTTGAAGAGGAATTTTAAACCTGGACTGATGATTGCAATGGGCAGTATTGTGTAGCATGATCAATTAAATTACAGATTTTACACACATTTACTGAGGATCCTGCTGTTATCAAAGAAAGGATGTCACGATCACGAAGGCTCCAATCGACCTTAACATGCCTTTCCCGCAGAAGTGCTGCTGCCTTTGCTGTAAAAATTTTATGATAGTCATAAAATTTTGGGCCATAGAAATTATTAATGTTAATAATGTCAGCTTCATAGGCATCTAATTCATCCCGACGGTCTGGGTAGGCACCATACATAATTCTTTTGAATTTTCCAAAAGCTTGAATAAATTCTTGGATTGATAGATGCCTGTTTAATCTTGGGTCTGCTTTATTTGCTAAATTGACATGGAATGGTTTACAGGAGACTCAAAATTGGGAATAAGGAGAGCGCCTAAGTTTACATCCTTACCCTCAATAATGCTCCTTTGTAATGATGGAGACACAATATCCACATTTGAGAATGCATCAGATCGGACTCCAGCTGTAGGACACAGAGTTGTGGACAAGTATCAAAGAGATGGTGTTGTTGATAGTGGCAGTGGTGGGCGGTGCACGGCTAGTGGTACGTCCTCCATATTTCTATTCTGGTAACACTGCGCTAGATCAAATTTCTTTGCAGGACCGCTTTCTGTACTTTTTTGGTTGGCGATAAGGCTGACTGTCTGTTGGAGACCTGAGGCTCATTGTGCTACAGACTGCGACACTGGATAATGGCAGCCATGTCGTTGCCACCGACGCTGTCGAACTGCGCACTTCCGGTTGAATCGTTGACATCGCTCCGCGAACTACTTTCATCAGCTGTTGGATTACGCAATCCGTCGGTCACATTCGCGATACTGTCTGAGGCACACGCTGAGGATGAGGCACTCTCGGAGTTTTGTGCTATAGGATTCAGCACGACATGTTCCTCGTTCTGGGCGACATTACCGTTGCTATTTTGGCGATCTTTATTTTATAAATAAAATTGTTTAAGAACGGTTTTAGCAACATTTTTGGGTACAACAATCCCCAACTGCTGCAGTTTTATCTAAGTTGCTGTGACGTCCAATTGTCTGGATTATTTAAGTCCAAATGTCTATTTGAATACGGTTGATTTCTTGAATTTCGTCTGGAAGCCATAATTATTAAAAGTTCAATATCTTTGTAACAGTTACGAAAATGTTCTTTGAAATTGCTAAGTGAAAGTGAATGTTAAATATAGCAATTTTACAACACAAATTTTCTTTTAGTAAGATAATCGCAAATGTCCAATATCGAAAGTTTCTTTTAGTTCGTACTCACATATATGAAGATAAACGCAAATGTCCAAAAACTGAATATTGCAATAACATATGGATATTAACACCTAGTTAATATTATACTTGAAAACAATATTTTGTAACTTTAGGATAACTAATGTATGACTTTCCCTGTCAGCAGCAAAACTCAAAATGAACAACAACCTAGCATCCTGGGGACATTTGAGAAGGGTATGTATCACTCCTTTGCCTTATAACCAAATAAGGAGTGATCATGCAGCCAGAGGCATGTCAGTACCAAACATGTGCTACACACATGCAAACTATGATGTGTAATCCATTAACAATGCTTATACATTATATAAGCTTCTAGTTAGAAGCTTATCCTGTCTAACTATGATTGGAGTTCATGCGATTTCTTCTGATTTTATTTATTTTCAACAGTTTTATGAGTTTTGAAAAAGTTGATAATTAACTGTTGTTTTAACTAAATGAGGGAAATTCCTGCTGTAGAAAGCATTCTTCTTTCTTGTGTTGGGCCTCGGTTGCAGATAAGTGGACTAAGCATTTTATCTACAGTATAACTAAACTGTCAACCATGAGGATGTGAGCTTAAACCCCGCACGTAACAGGTGCGTTCTACTCTATCTTTGATCAGCTAGTTGTCCTACCAAAGGTCGATAATTCTCTCCGAAAGAAAAAAAAAATGATCTACAACAGTTTTGTAGAATTTGAAAAACGTACATAAACATATATTTGAAGCAAAGAATACTCACCAAGCCAAAACTCATGCTGAAGTTCACCAAAGCCATTTTCATACTCAACCCAGTTCCTATGAAAGTTTTCTTCTCCATCTATTCTTCTTTGGATAACCTATAAGTATTTATCTTTATAACTAAACATTAGATTAATATATTTTATGTAATTAAGAAATAATTAAAAGCTTGAAATTGAAATATTAATTTCGTGTTATGTAAAGACAAAAAATTGATAGAGGGGTCACCATTTGTTTAACTGTACCGGTATTGTTATAGCATGTTTATGTTGGAACCCTATAAAACATGTAAAACTACCTTCACATTCCACATTCATTAAAATTCTTGAAAAGAACTAACATTCTTTGAGTTAATACCATAAAAACTCATAAGGGATTCCGCGGAACTCTGTTTTTCGTCTGTGATTGCTGCTGTCAGTGTAAAAGTGTAATGCTGACTTAAAAAGTGAGTCCATTTATCAGTAAAATACAGAATTTAAAAAAAATCAAACATTTTCTTTTGATCCTCTTTCTTGGTCTTGAAGATTAACTCCTGTCCAAGTTTCATAACAATCCATACAAATTTATCATGTCACAAATATTTAATCCCAGACTGTCTGTAAATGATAACTGTAAAAAACGAAGTCCGTCTATCAGGCAAATACTAAAAATGAAAAAAAATATATATTCAAAGTTTTGCTTCAGACATTATCTATTAATCATTAAAAAGCTTCTGCCATAGTTTCATAAACTCTACGAAGTTTTGACAAAGTAATTGATGTGTAACAAACTTTAACCCCAGACTATATCTCAATGTTAACTGCAAAAAAAAACTAAGTCCATTTATCAGAAAAATACGGAAAAATAAAACCAATGTTTTTAAAACTAAGCTCTGGATACTGTCTTTTGTCATAAACAAGCTCCTGTCCAAATTTTATAAAATTCCGTGATAGTTTGAAAAAGTAATTGATGACTGAAAAACTTTAACCTCAGACTTAATATGGATGTAAACTGTAAAAAAAAACTAAGTAAAAGATGGAAAAATAAAATAAATATTTTCAAAATTTTGCTTTGGATACAATATTGTAGTCATAAACAAGCTTCTGTCCAAATTTCATAAAATTCCATGTAGCTTTGACAAAGTTATTGATGACTAAAAAAACTTTAACCACAGACTGAAACTAATTGTTGACGACGCCGAAGCCGACGCTGACGACGGAATCTAGGATCGCTATGTCTCGCTTTCGCGAATAAATTTTGCAGGCTCGACAAAAATGAATTATGAAATGAAACATGATGAAGTAGAATTATGATACATAGAGAATATCATATGGCTTTTTCGATATCACCTTCGTATCAACCCGAGACACCAATATGATCCCAAGAGTTCTTCAAGAGTACATGTATATACCCGAAGTAGATGTTTTTCGCTTGAGTTGTGATCCGACGTTAAGCAGATTATGGGTTTGATAAAGCCTTTCCAAACGTGAATGATATCAATGACGTGACGTCATACAGATTAGGGGTGTGATAAAGCCTTTGCAACTGTGACTGCTATCGATATCATCACGGATGGCTGATACAGCACGATTGTCAATGATTGTATTATACATATAATTTCTTTGTTTTTTTTTCGCTAAAAATATCTTTATTGCACTTTTCTTTGCTGTAATGACAATTTACTCGACCTACAGCAGTTGGCCGAGTTTTCCTGTGAATTAGTCACCGAATAACCAGGGAAATTATCTAGTGAATTCATATATTTAAGTAGTTATTTAGTTTTACAACTCATAGTTAATACAAACATTTTTGGAAAATATGTAGTCACATGATTACGGAAAATGTACAGTTTCTAAAGATAAGAACTTTATGATCATTGACCTTAACCTTTTGCAAAGAACCGTTAATGCCGGTTGATCAGTTGTCCTGATGAATTTATGCATCTTATTGACTGTTCTCGCGAACAGCTTAAACTTTAATTAAATATTGTAAGTTGTAAGTCTCGACAAACTGGCTTTTTGAGCCCTCCGTAAATATAGATAATAAAAGTGTTCCCAAATTCATTTTGGTGGCATTTGTATCTATATGTTAACTACCTATCTGCATAATTTTATGAAGATTGAGAGATCAGGGAGTCTAGCCATCGCCCTCTGCCCTTTGACCTGAGTTTTCAACGTTTTTGAGCTGAAAAGTGACATATTAAGCCCTCCGTAGATATCGGAGATGACATTATTCTGGGAAATCCTTTTGATACTATCTGTTTATAAACATATAGTCTAAAAGATCATTCACTTTTATTGACATTGAAAGACCAGGAGGGTCTCACGGTCATTTAAGCTGTCTCTGGTAGGTTTTCACTATATATTTTGAATATCAAACTGGCACTTTGAGCCCTCTGTAAACATAGAAGACAAGAAGTTTACCCAAATTCCTTTTGTTGTCATTTGTATCTTTATATTTACTAACTATCTGCATAATTTTATGAAAATTGAAGATCAAGGGGTAAGTGTCTAGCCATCGGTCTGTGCTCTTTGACCTAAATTTGTGACGATTTTTAGCTGAAAAGTGACAATTTAAGCCCTCCGTAGATATCGGAGATGACATTATTCTGGGAAATCCTTTTTTGATACTATCTGTATATATACAGACGTACTTAAAATTTAGAATGATTTTATTTAATTTACTTTCGAGCAATACGAACACAAATGTCTATTTTAATTGCGGCGTTGTTCAATTTCTATTATGATGTCAATCTATATGACCCAGTCATATATTCTGTTGACGTTGCAATTTCTATTGTGATGTCAATCACGTGCAGCCCATGTTTTATTGGAATCAGAACATGGCTTTGTTTCCAAAGTGAAAGAAAAACGTCATATTAGAATTGATCTGTGTTTATAATATCTGTCTCGTTTTGTCAAAGACAAAGATAATCGAAAGACATCTAGAAGACGACATACAGACTCAAACAATAAAAAGAATTAATACGTACAGCCAATTGTTGAAAAGTATTATTTTTTGGACTTATCTTTTTCAACATCTTTTTGAGTTTTAGGTTCAACCCACCCTTTAATAAAGTTGTGATTTCACTGCGACAAATCCATTAAACGGACGTCGATTTGAGAACAACAAAAAAAGACGTCGATTAGAGGGGCATAAAATTGGCCGTCGATTTGGAACGTTATTCTATTGTGACGTCAGATTTGGACGTCGATTTGAGGAACGGACGTCGATTAGAGACCGGACGTCGATCTGAGTCTTACATATTTACTAACTTTCTGCATAATTTTATGAAGATTGAGAGATCAGGGGGGTCTAGCCATCGCCCTGTGCCCTTTTATCTGAATTTTCAACGATTTTTAACTGAAAAGTGACAATTTCTTTTATATTGGTTTTCCGTTATTATTTCTTTTTATATTTTTAAATGTTACTAAAGTGATCGTTTGTTTTTGTTTCTAGAAATAACATGTAGAAAAGTACTACTTTGATTGCATTTTATTGATAAAAAATCTATATTTCATAACCATAAATGTGCGATTTACAAAAGGGTTTATATTTCAGGACAATGGGAATTTGCGACAGCTTGAAGGGGTCATAAAACGATTTCCTACATATCTTTTTACTCCTTTTATCTATGAATATCATGTTTTAAATGTTATCGAATATTTCGATTTTTATTATTTTCAACTAAGAAATTTGAATATCGAACCGACTGCTAGCAGCCGGTTGGATATTGAATATCGAATAACGAATAATGAACCGGCTGCTTACTTCACATGCATGAAACCGACATCATCATAAAGTAGTTTTTTTTATTGACAACATTATTTCACAATTGGAAGACGTCTTTTCAAGAAACAGTCGCTATTCCTATCATACAGGAGCTTCCAGAAATACTGAAAAGAATAATCCTTTACCATCACGTTCCGCTATGTAGCGTATCCCTTTTCACTATATAATTCTAGATTTGGTTACTATGTTGAACGCGTGTAAACCATATACATTGGCATGAAGGATACAACAAACGGTCTTATATCTAGAATCGTATCTAGAAATTTACATAAAGGTTAGTTGAGAACTAAATTTTACGACAGAATGATTTTTATCCTCTTTCATTTTCATTGCTATGTAGCAACATTCCAGCAGCGCCTGCATATGGAGTATATATCTCTCACTGTTGATACCATATTCCAGATCTAGTGTTTCCTATCACAAAGTTCGTGGTACACGGCTGATTCTTGCAAGGAAGCAATTGCACCGAAGGTTTCATATGGTAAAACTTGAAGTAATTCCTTCGAAGATTTTACGGATGCCATCTTGACATGGTAGACATTTATAAAATATCTGTGTCAGATATGTCCAAACTGTCGTAACCACAATTCGGTTTTCTTGTTCTTGATTTTGACATCACCAAATGACACTGATTCCCTAAATTTTACTTACAAAGAGAAACATGGCATTTGCCGATCGGCTTACTATTCCATATCATCTTAGATCACCTCCAGTTTTGTAGGTTCGTGTTGCTCAGTCATTATGTTCTATCTAGTGTTTGTGGACTTATTTGTCTTTTCGCTATCTATCGTTTTCTCATCGTGTGGTCAGTTTCTCTTTGACTTATCTTCTCTATGATCTTTTTTTATCTTTCGTCTCTTTTATGGAGTTTTCTAGGCATATAAAAGACTTATCGTCGTGTCTTGGCTTGACAGTGGATTTATCATTATACAATATCATACATGTTATTACAGAATTATAAACTCAATAGTTTAGTTGTTGTCGTTGGTTCATGTTTGTTTCATTCTATTTTTTTTTTTTTTTTTGTAAATTGTTTTGTTATAAATTAAGCCGTTAGCTTTCTTGATTGAATTATTTTCATATTTTTCATGTCGGGGCCTTTTATAGCCAACTATACGGAATAGGTTTTTCTCATTGTTGAAGGCCGTACGGTTGCTTATAATTGCTTACATCAATTTCATTTGAACTTTGGCGGATAGTTGTCTCGTTGGCATTCATACCACATCTCCTTATTTTCATATTCATGGTTAATTGGGTTCATATAATTTTCCTGCTTCTATTTACTTTCGTAAAGAAAGAAACACAAATTTCACAGCAAATCATGGCCACTTGAAAAAAAATATCATTGTAACTGTTTTTGCTTTATCAACTTATAAAAATGAACGATATTGGGAAGAATACTGATAAGAATCTGACTGTTTGACTTTCAGAAAAATGATACTGATTTCATGGGGGTTTTCTACCACATTTTGTTGTATATAATACCGTCCAGCCGCCGTTTGTCATGTTGCAAAACACCTTTACCCCCTCGTCGGCCTTGGAAGGATATATTGTATATATTCCACTTTTGCGTCTGTATTCAAACAATTCCGTACAATCTCCTACTGGCATATTTTCTAAAATGTAGAAATTACATAATAAGTATAATTTTATGAAACATTCAGTATAGTATTCATTTTTGCTTCGCATGGTTACATACACTATACACGTCATCGTGAAATTATCACATAAATAAAGTTAGTTCTGACTGGTTTCAAAATTCTTTTGGTTTAAATGAAATATAAAAAAAAACAGAATCTCTCACCGAAATGGCAGAAAAACTATACATGGAAATGTAACAGTATTGGCATTCGAAACCCTATCCATGAATTATAATAGGGGTCGCTTCCTATATAACATGTATAATGGTATTCGCAGATGTGCCGCTGGTATAGGTAACTGTTTGAAATGTTAATTAGATCAATTGGGTCCAATTTTACGGAGATAATTAAACAATGGATAGACATATATACGTCAATGGATCATACATATCCATCTCATGTTTAGTTGTCTGTGAAAACTACGTACTTATATTTTATCTTATTGGTCGTCCCTCTGTCTGTTTCACTCTGCTCAACTCTTAATAAAATTGCATATCACGGCTTTGCGACGCCAAATACGTTAACCCGGCCGTAATAACTTTGACCCAGACATATCGCATAATATATGATACGACGTTGATAAGTTTGACCCGAACTTATAAAGTTATCTTCCGGTTTGCTGGTGAAACAAAGAAAACACTTGTTTCTATCATGCAAAATACGCAAATATAACCCGATAAATCGATTGTCTGGTTGTATGCATATTGATACTGTAAAATATCAGCTGCTCGACACAATATGGAGCCTTTTTTATCTCGTTCGCTGCGCTCACTCGACAAAAAGCTTCATATTGTGACTCGCAGCTGATATTTTACGATATCAATATGCAGACAACCTGATAATCGGTACTAAATATTATGAATGATTTATATCGCTTACATCTAATTCAGCATGTTCAGATGTCAATTGTTTTACTGTTAGATGGGAAATGTTTAATGCGTCCTGTTTTTCATTTGAAATATATTTATGATTAAATCATTATATAAATTGGAATTGATTTAAATTCACGACCTGACGCCTGCACCAATTCTCCCCCCTCCCTCCCCCTACAGAAATATCCCCATACATAGATACTGACGTAACTTTGATACTAGGAAGCACTCCGTACCTTTTTCGAAAATTTAAACTTTTAATTAATAACTTTAATGAAAACAATCTATATAAGGTTCGTCGTAAAAACCAAGAAATGGAATAATCAAATTTAGAAAGGAGGAACTATTTCAGGGACAGATATGTAAAAACATTGAATCTTAACAGACCTATGGTAAATGATTGTGTATATAGTCCACATTATCGCCGAGTTTCGAATTAATACAAATGCAGATTATCACTTAGGCTGGAGTAAACAGAACACAACGCCATGAAAATGCAAAACGAACACACAGACTTCTACTTCACATATAGGATTCTTTTAAAGGATAAAAGTACTTTGCTCTTGAACTTGATTTGTCTATACAAATGAGACTACAACACCTCCTTCAACACCGATTAATCTCATGTTGATGACAAAATCCCTTATACCACACTCAATAATGTATTTTACATCTAATTGATATAAAGGGCTCACTAACATAGACTGGGCCGTGTCTATAACAGAGATGCAACAATTGTAGTTTATCTGATGTTTAAACTCGTGAATCTATATTGAATAGAGAAAAACAAGATGTCTTATCAACACTAAGCATTGACATGCTATGCATTCTATACCCGCCGTGCTTAACGATGTACGCAGGTGAGGTTCATGAATTTTTGTCAGATGTTCTGACTACTTGGTTTTTTTCCTATGAAACAAGGTAAAATATTTTGCCCCATATCACCCACTTTTCTTTTCATAGAAGACTTCAATATGTCATAAAAATGTTATAACCAAAATTTGAGCAGATTCTAGATTTTTTTCGTACGATTTGAGACCCAAATAATGCCAATGCTAAATATAAGTTAAAGGTCCGAGTCAGTCTTTTCCCGCCATTTTTAAAAATCAAATATCGCAAAAAAGAGTTCCGTAACCTATCAATATTTTTAGCTTATTTTGTTCCTTTACCAATGCTCTTCTGACTTGTAGTATCAATTTTAGATTCTATATTTTTTAAATTTCACCTAACTACATCCTTAAACAGACTTATTTTATAAAAACAATTCAATATGGAATAAGGCATAATCGGTGAATTTACAGATCAGACTAATGTGCTACTTTTTACAATCTGCGATCCACGACAACATGTCTTTTTTTAATTAATATAAAGGCAGATGGTATCAGTCAACTAGTTTGTGTCGTACTACTGGTATAGTGTTGACCTCATAACCCTGCCAGATAATTTTACAATTTGAAAGGAATTTAACCGGTATGAGAAGCTTGGTAATCATACAACTCATGGGCATTCGATTCTGAAGAGTTCTTGCATTGAGTATTCATTTGCAATTTTATCACAAACTGATGTTGATAAGCACTTTCGAAATATACAGAGAAAACATGCTTTCATAGCTTATTTTTCAAAATATTCTGGTTGGATTTTTGCATGTTTTATTCGAAACCGAAAGTCACGTTTCTATTAATTTTCCACAAAAACGACTTTCAAACAGTAAAGGATATTTTTGTTTACAAAGAGTTCCTTAGCATAAAGGCCCGTTAGTGAGTGGCAAAAATGAAGGCTGCAATCGATCTTTGTTATGTGAAATCAACTTATCATTGATCATCTTTGGTTAAAGAAACCCGAAGGCAACTATTCCGTTACTACAAGCGCAAAAAGACAATAAAAGCTGCCAATGTGATTTTTTCTTGCAATTTCGATTTATAGTTCTTAAAGCAGTATATATGTACGCAGATGATTGAAAAAGAAAAAAAGGGTACTGCAATTATTTTTTAGCTAAAAATAGAAGAAAAAAAGTTTTTTTAAATGCTGGAGACGTTATTTCCTTTTCAGCGCTGTATCACATCGTAGTGATCTTCAAAAAGCAACATCGCAATACAGTTATCACGTCGTACATGCCTTCGTCGTAGACTTGCTTAAAATACAACAGTTTCATTGTCCCTTTCAAATGTTTTTTAATTCACATAACTGATTAAATGACTTTCTTCCCGAGGTAGAAAGGCAAACACATTTTCCCCTGCTTGTCAGACACGCGCGTTCCGCCTATGAACATGCATTAAAAATGGTACAAGTTCTATGCGTAGCATCTTCACATCTTATGCGTAACAATTCACAAGACCCGAACACGTTTAACCGTTTTAATAAAATTTCTTCGATTTTTTTATGCTTCTCATATAGCGCATTGGCAACGTTAATAAAATAACGGTTCACATTTGGATTCATTAACACGTGCTTCTGTGACCTATAAGTTTCTATTATAATACAACGCGTGAATTCGGAATATTGAAGTCCAACAAACAACAAAGACAACAATTATGTTTTAGAAAAAAAACACAAACAAAAACTTATAGAATCATACATATGTCGCACCAGAAACTTGTACTTAATTTTGGGAAAATCTGCCGAATTATTCGCCTCCTGCATTTTTTTTAAGTTTCTTTTAATCTATTCTATGTAATATTGTTTCAAGAAAAACATTTTCTTCATTGTTGATCAATTGTACTTTTAACGAAAAAGGACTGATTAATTGCTGCTTGCTTGCCGTCCAATTGTCAAGTATTTCATGCATTTTAAATACAACAATCTGTAAAGAGGTAATGCTATATGTAGGTTCTGTAAAGTGGCTCGACAGGGATGAAGATTTGAAAACAATAGTATTTTGGATAGGGGCATAAATTGTACCCTGCAACAGATTACCTACGGGACCCGTAAAGAGTTGTTGCAAGAGGTCTTAAATGTGCAGACAACGTAGCAATGTCTCTAAAAGAGGCATCGGATTTAACATTCCTATTTTTCAAAGCGTTTTGTATTCATACCAGCCAACAGTGTGGCGCTGGTACGACATAAATACTACACGGAAGTCCGTAAGGATGAAATTATATATTCAACTATATTCAAGGCCGTACGCTCCACAGAGAGTCAAAAAATAAATAAGCATGTCACTACCACAGCTCAGATTAAGGACTCTGAACATTTGAAGGTCCTCATTATGCATTGGTTACCTAAACTACACACACAAAAAACGTAAAATATCGTTTCATCTCGGCCTCTAGTACTAGTGTTTTACTACTAATCTTGTAATGCGTTCAACTAGTTCCTTACCTACTATCAAAGAACTCATCATTAAATTTTTTAATAAAACATATGAAAATAGTGGAATTAAATTTTTTTAGTGTAAATTTCTTGCTTTAGATAGTCCTTTTGATTGACAGTTTTGACTTTTCCACTCTTTATACTACACTTCCACACATTTTCAAACAAAAGTTTTCCTCTTTGATAAAATGGTTGTTTAAAAGAATTGATGGCAAATGTATTTGCTTAAACTCATAAAAAGTCTTTTTCTCCCAAAGAGAAAGATAGATATGCTAGATATACATACTGAAGGTATGGTGAGATAATTAAAGCTCTAATTATTTTCCTTGACAACATTTATGTACGTTTCGGCAATAATGTTTATTATTAGGTTATAGGTATTCCTATGGGCACCAATTGGGCCTCTTTGATAGTATATTTGTTCCTGTACTGTTATGAAACTCAGTAAAGACCCGTCAGATTTCCATTTATTTGATAAATTCAACAACATTCACCTCTATCTTGGTGATATGTTTTCGTTAAATATTCCAAAATTTTATTGATATACTGGAAATTACTTTTAAAAACTCAAATATTAACAGCAATAACTGACTTTTCCTAAATTCCTTAACTCGTTCGCTATGCCCGTGTCCGTTTTGGATTTCAATTAGCGTAAACTGTGTATTACTGGTATTTTTTTAAGTCAGGGATTTCGTTACCACAAATTACCTAAAACCTTCTTCCATGGATACAAACATTTGATTTGCAATTTAGGCTGTACCAGACGTATTTCAAACGGAATAGCACATCCTAGTTTTACGGTGATGTTGTTTACCAACCCCGCAAATTAGATACGATCCAAGTAAACTAATCAATCCTTTAAATAAACTTTTTCTAAAAAGTTACCAATTCAACACTGTAATTAGATCTTTGAATATTGTTTTAGTGGTATTTATATTGATTTCGTTTTTAGAAAATTAAAACCATACTAAATATTATTGTTATACGCATTTGCACATTCACGGTACTAGTATTACAATCTGTCGATACCTATATTTTGACATTCCACAAGGTCATGTTTTCTCTGACTGCCAGTGTTAATGACATCTTTACTAAATCCATTGTATGTTGGATATGTACTAATTAGTATTTTAGTCTTAGATACATGATTTGTTTTATTGGTTGTTATTGGCTTTGAACTAGCTATCAGTAACTGCGAATACTCTCAGATCTTTACTTTGTGTCTTTTTTTTTTCAGGGATGAATAAATGCCCTGCCACGTCTGGTCTGTGATTGTTTTATCCTTTGTATCGATCTGATAAGTTCAGCCTTTTCAAACGAGTTTAAATAGTTTTTCTTATGTTGTACTTTTTCACCATTGTCCCAAGTTAAAGGTAGGGTTGGTGCCTTCAAGCATGTTTAACCCAGCCATATTTTGTGACTGTCCAGAGTCAGGAGACTGAAGTTCAGTGGTTGTCGTTGGTTCATGTCTGTCATATTTGTTTTTCGTAAATTGTTTTGAAATTAGGAAGTTAGTTTTCTAAATCAAATTCTTTATTATTTTTACATGTCGGAACCTTTCATATCCGACTATACGGTATGGGGTTTTCTCATTGTTGAAGGCCGTACGATTGCCTATAATTGAACTTTGGTGAATAGTTGTCTCATTGGCAGTCATTACACATCTCCTTATTTTATACTAACCAAAAACTTGATACTGGAAAGAAGAACTAACGGACGAACGAAGGACGGGCGGACAAATGAACGATATTACGGACGAATGAAGGACAGACAAACAGACAGCCAAAAATGCCCGATACTATCGTAGGCAGAGTCTACAAATATTAAGTTTATTTCAATCGAATATATAAATATTCGTTTAACCTTGATCCTTGACGCAAAACACACTTCTGTCCTTTTTGGTTTCACAAACTTCTCCAGATTTACAGGGATTTCCAAGGCACGTGTCATACATAGGATCCTGATATTGAAAAGAATAGAACATCAGTAAAGAAGAAAAACTGAATATTGTATTAATTATCAGCAGCATTTCATACATTTTTTTTTAATCGAACAATAAAAAAAGAAATAACATAAATAGTATATTATAATTACCCACATGTATCGTATTCGGAAAAGTGATAGCCGACTTAACCTATCGATCAAAATAAAAGAATCAAGACCAAGTGATGATCTCCGCAAAAGAGAATTAATCAACACCGACGAAATGCAAGGGTTTCCTAATTTAAAAAAAAAAGAATCACGCTATAAAAGATAAAAAAAAAGAAGGTCGAATATTTCAAGTTCTAAGATTGAATTATCAAGACAATACAAAGTTGTAGCTAATTAAGAAGCAAATATAGATATACATCAAAAGGAAATATTACAATTATTTTGAAAAACATCACCTATTTTAGTGTCAAAATATTCAAATAATTTCCATATAAAGATAATGATATGTGGTATTATTGCCAATGAGACAAATATCCACCAAAGTTCAAATGAGGTGGATGTAAGCAATTATAGGCAACCGTACGGCCTTCAACAATGAGAAAACCCCATACCGTACAGTCGGCTATAAAAGGCCCCGACATGAAAAATATGAAACAATTCAATTGAGAAAAATAACGGCCTAATTTATGACAAAACAATTTACGGAAAACAAATATGATAGACATAAACCAACGACAACCACTGAACTACAGGCTTGGGAAAGGCACATAAAGAATGTGGCGGGGTTAAACATGTTTGTGAGCGCTCAACCCTCCCCTAAACTGCACAGCATAAAACAAACTATAAAATTCAGTTGAAAAAGGCTTTACTCATCAGATCGATACAAACAAAAACATCAAACAAAAACACAGACAGGACGTGGCAGGGTATATATCCATTCTTCATCCTTAACAACAAAACGACACTAAGTACAGATCTGAGAGTACTCGCAGTTACTGACAGCTAGTTCAAAGCCAAAAACAACTTATAAAAAAATATCATGTATCTCAGACTAAAATATCAATCAGTACACATCCAATGGATTTAGTGTAAAGATGTCATTAAAAGTCAGAGAAAAAACATGACATGTGCAATGCTAAAATATAGGTATCGTTTAATTTGACAAATTTGATAAATTTCGGACATATCTTCGATTTTGCAATGAAACGTGTAGTAATAAATTTCACGTAAAATTGGATTTTACTATATTTAAGAAATTATTGAAAAGAATCAAGGTTCCAACTGCCTCAGGCAAAGTCGAATTTGCTATTTTTAGGTCCCTTTTTTGTCATATAGCTCTACAATGGTTTTGATCTTATACATCCATTGAGTTTGAGCGTTCTTGTTGATAAATCCAAAAAGGCGCTTCGGACGCGCGAAATGAGTAAAGTGTTTGTTTTGTAGATATTTATTACTTATATTATTATATTTTGGTAAACGAATATGCATTGCTATTTCATGTTAAAGGGGGACCTCGGTGGACGAGTGGTCTAAGTAGTCCAATTACTGTATCACTAGCCAGTCAACACTGATGTTGTGAGTTCGAATCCCAAACGGGGCAGGTGCACTCGACTCCAATCTTAATTGACTAGTGCCTCGTTCACACGTACATTTAATTCGAATTGAATTCGAATCGAATGCGAATCGAATTCTCTAATCGCGTTCACACACTCTTCTTTTTTAATTCGAATTGATTCGAATTGGCTAATTCGAATTATCCAATTCGCATTAGAAATGCGTTTTTGTTAATACGAATTAAAAGTTAACGTCGTTCGGACAGTAAAACGAATTTAACGCGCATTGCAATTCGAATTAGAATTTACGTTCGGACGTAAAACGTTTCGAATGCGAATTAAACTAATTCGAATTAGTTAATGCGAATCGAATTCGAATTACGTGTGAACGCAGCATTAGATTGTCAGTTTTCCTACCGAAGGTCGGTAGTTCTCTCCGGGCACTCCGGCTTCCTCCACCAATAAAAACTGACCGCCTCGAAATAGCACAATAGTGTTGAAAGTGGCGCTAAACACCAATCAATCAATTCATGTTAAGTAAAGAACTTTCAAATGATTTACATCAAATATTAACGTGCAGTACAACATATTTCATTTGTTTCAGAGCAAAATTAAAATAATAGTATATCAACAAATGATCTGAAAAGTAATGTATCTCTGACTTGCTTTCTTAGTATTACTACCTTGTCTGTTAATTTCGGTCTAATTGTTGCAAATGCTAACTGAAACGTTAGTATTATGAAAACTTATATAGCTTATTTTGTATGTAATAGTTCTTTGAATCTAGATATTCCAGAATAATCTAGCAAAAACATACTAAGTAATCTATTGTTGGATCAATCGGATTTATCTTTATACAGATAAAATAGTTTTACAATAATGTCTGCTGTGGTTGGTTCTTTCTTTTTGTTTGAATTTTGGATTAAACCTCATTCGAAGACAAAATTAGTAGGTGAACGGCAACAATGGTTTGATATAAAACCCATTTATATAACGAATTAATTGCATAACAGTTATAATTAGGTACAGACACTTAACCATCTTATTTCATCAAGTCTCTGAGACATGAGGAGACCGTAGATACATCCGAAGGTAAATCCTTTAAATTGTACTTTCTGCAATTCGTTTGAGTCGTATTCATTGTTTGTAGACTATCATTTACTCGAATAGCCTTCAGTGGTTTTGTGTAAACTAGGTGTGCACGAATATTTGATATTCATTTCCCAACGGCCATTCAGACGAGAAGAAATGCATATCCTTACACGGAATGACAGTCATGGTCGGGTAGGTCACACAAGCGGCCAGGTCCGCCAAAATGCACATAAATACTGGGTAGGTCACACAAGCGGCTAGGTCCGCCAAAATGCACATAAATACTGCACAATTAACAGCCACAATATAAACAGAAAGAACGGCAAGGTCCGAAAAAACAAATATCTATTTAATATTTGAGCAATATGTTTGCAGTAAATCAGAAATCAATCTGTTTTCATTTAAAAAAAAGTAGATTTCTCTGCAGAACCCTCTTGAAAAAATTAATGTAACTTTATATATACATGTATATAAGAACTTTGCATTATACTTTGGAAAAGAGAGTCGAAATATACCAAAGGGACATGGAAGTTTGGCATTGTTACTGTTTGCAAATCGGTCTCTGCTTAAAGGTCCACATCAGGTATTAAAATAAAATCACATTCAGTCCGACACCGACCAATCATCAAAATAAAAACATTTACTATACGGATCCTTCGTAGCATTCAAAGTTTTTGGTGTCAATTCTTATAAAAAAAAATTAAAAACTCTACAGTTAACCTATTCAACTCCTGAAACATACTACCAACTTAAGATATGTGAGCCATGTATTGGTTGTCAGTGAAAAGTTAAACAATTTCTCCGTAAAATGATCCAAAAAATCACTGTCTTACACTTCCTGTACGTGGACTTTTTGAGCTTCTTTTCATGTGTCGTCACCTAATGCGCTATTTAAACAGGAAAATACACATTGAAGCCAGCACCCGCACATGAACTGTATCAACATTGTTAACCTCTCTGATAGTCTCTGAATTGGTGTAAGTACACAAATAAGCAACGTTTTAAGGGAAGAATACTAAAACTTCGTTGACTATATAATGTAAATGTCTTATTTACATATATTGCAAAGTGCTGGTGAAAGTGCAAAGATTTTACCAATTATCGCTGCAACTTTCCTCTCGGTCATATTACTAGTGTTTTAACACTAAGGAAATAAAATGAAAATATTCTATATTTTCTTTTCGGGTACGCGTTAAATACCCTGGTCTAAATTGCATACAAGGCGAATCTACTCTTAACTGTTATGTGACTCTTAAAATTGTTTTCCGTAATTTGACAAAACCTGACAGACAATACATCGGTCATTACTTCTTGAGACACTTTCAGGCACACTTCTTTGGTACTTTCAAACTCGAGTCCATCATCTTAATATTCTGAAATATAATTGAATCCTTTACAAAGCCAAAATGTTACTACAGGGCGTATCATTTATGTAAAAATATATCAATCTGAGCTCAGCCTTGATGCCTCCTTCAAATTCACTGATTTTTCATACGAGTCCTTACGGATCGCCAATTCGTAGTCACCCGCAAGCAATCGTAAATAACTCGCTGGTATCCGTAAATAATTCATCACGACTCGCAACATGTCGCAGACACTGTTACGGATCCGTGAAAGGACAAGCAAATTTTTTGATACGGAAACGGAATAAGAATGGAAGGAAACGAAATGAAATTTACCAAAAACAAATCAAAACGAAAACAATATTTTCTGAAAAAACTAAATATCATAAAAATTATAAAACAAGAGGCTAACTTGTGACCTACCGAATTACTCATTACCGGGTTTGTAATAACATGAGCAACTCGACGGGTGCCACATTTGGAGCAGGATCTGCTTACCCTTCCGGAGCACCTGAGATCACCCCCAGTTTTTTGGTGGTCTTCGTGTTGCTCAGTCTTTAGTTTTATATGTTGTGTTTTGTGTACTACTGTTTGTCTATTGGTCTTTTTCTTTTTTAGTCATGGCATTGTCTGCTTATTTTCAACATATGAGTTTGAATGTCCCTCTGTTATCTTTCGCCCTTTTTTTTTTTTGTTTTTGATCTATAGGGTGAAAAAGAGAAATATGTTTCTTTAAGTCTATAAAAATAATTAATAAGACCTGATTTTGACACACTCTGATTCTCTAACTTAAAGGACAATATGCAAAAATTACTTGTCGACTTTGTGATTACTGCTATTTTTAAATAGTGAATAAAAGAAAACGGGATATTTGATTTATGAAATAAGAGATAGTTCCGTATTTGTTATTTGCACTTTTTTTAAGTTATCGTGCGACAATCAAAAATATAAGCAAAAAAATGAGCAAAATATAAGTATGCAGCCACGTCCAGTCAGAATGGGGCGTGTAGAGAGAGTGCCTTCTTTCGTATGCACCTTTT